GGACTTGGGACCAGAGCAGTTTGGGGGCACAGGTCAAAAAAGCACATGCTGGCAGTCACCCCAGTGACCCTGAGCCCCCAGGGTCAGGGAACTAGGGGTGGCCAGAGCCCTTCCTCCCACGTGGTTTTAGCACTGCCTCTTGTTTTTTCACAAGTGGAAATACCTGAGTTCTTCAGGACATGCAGCCACACGCCTCCTGAAACCGACCATCTTTAGTCTTTTTATAATTTTTTAAGAATTATAACCGACCACTTCAGCTCTTGCGGTATCTCCCTGCCCTTCCCTTACTTCTCTTCTTTCAGGCACCTTCCTCACAGGCCACAGAACTTTCTAGAAAAGTGTGTGACAGAATGAGAGACAGGAAGTGCTTTGGAGATCCCCAAGAAAAAGCAGCTGATGAGAAAAGAGATTGAGGGGAGCAGAGGGAGGGTGGCCTCACTGAACGTCAATGTAAAGAAACCAGAGCGGCCGCGTGCCATCAAGCCGTTAATCAGAGGCTGGAGTGGGGTGAAGGGGCAGAGACCCGCTTTAAGTTGAAGCTCTGGGACCTTGTAGGATGGGCCTTCACTTGTGTGATCAGCTTCTATGCGAGAAAGGGACTTTTTAAATTCATTTTCTTCTTATTTATTGCTTGTTCTGCCTTTTTTTTTTTTTTAAAAAAATGCTCTTGGGATATATATAGCTTCTGGCCAGCTCTGGTAAGAAGCTGAAGTAAAATGTGTAGGTCCCCAAATACTTGACCTCATACGCTCAGGGCCAGAGATGGGACACCCCAGGTGTCTCCTCGACAGCTTTTATGTTAGCTGAGAAGAGGTCGTGCGTGGAAGCGGGGGTGATGGTGCAGTTCCCACAGCCAGGTGCATGGGGCTGAGGGAAGGCCACCCCACTGTTTCCAGGTGGGGAGGCTTCTCTTCAGAATAAAGGGAACTGAATTTTCCCCGACATTATGGGAGTGGAAAACGATACAGATACCCTGGAGAAAGAAAATGCCTCAGAAATTCTCCTTGAGGTGTTTAAATGAGAGATAAAGCTCAGCTTCCAAATTCATTTTTTATTTCTGCCTCTTCACCACCAGGCACATAAAACAGGAGCAATCATGAGGTAATCCCCATGGGACACTACACGTGCAAGAGTCTGTCCTGAATTTCACTGGTGGCTCTGTGACTTAGACTCTCCAGAAGCGTCAAACATCTTGTGACGTTTTAAAGTCTCTGCAAGAGGTCAGCCCTTCAGAAGTTGCCAGCATTTTCTAACGGGGGAAAGGACCTCGCCCTCAAGATTTAAAGCCTTGAAGAGACCTGAGAACTCGGGTCTCTGAGCAGACTGGAGGTGAAAGGGTTTCCACATAGAAGTTTTTGTAGCCTTCATCACTGCTGACAGCGAGACCCTGTGAAATTGCACTCAGAGTTCCTCAGTGGGAAACAGAAGCCCTCCAGACGTGGATTCTGGAAGACCGAGGCGCTGGGGGGAGCCCTGGTAGTGCAGCTGATGAAGTGTTGGCTGCTAACGGAAAGGTCACCTTCCACCTCTCTGAGGGAGATGATGGGAGAGCTGGTGCTTCCTCACGGAGCGCAGTGCACTGACCCGGTGGGGCAGCTCCCCTCTGCCCTGTGGGACCGCGGTGGTTCAGAACCTGCTCATGGGCACCGGGTGGGCTTGGAAGCTGAGGAGGCTGCGAGGGCGGGGGCTGTGGTGGAGTGTCTGTTGTTCCCAGCCCCCACCCTCCCCTCCGCACTTCCTCTCACCGATGGTTGTGGTTGTTGTGTGCCGTTAATTCAGAATCAACCCAGAGCCAATAGATCATATGGGAGGACACTGCCCATCTCTCTCTCACAGAGCAGCTGGTGAATCTGAACCGTGCACCTTTGTGTTAGCAGACAGTCACAGTTTGCTCAGCTCCACAGTCAACACTCTTGGCACCAGGAGTCAGGAAATCAAAAGATGACTCGTACTAGGTAAATCTGCTGTCAGGGACCTTTCCAGAATACTGAAAAGCAACGATGTTAATCTAGAGACCAAGGTGCGCCTGATGCAAGCCATGGTCTTCACAGTTGCTTGCTATGCATCAGAGAGCTGGACAATGACTAAGGATGACAGAGGAAGAATCATGCCTTTGAATTGTGATCTGAAGGAGTCTTGAACAGACCATGGACTGACAAGAAAACAAATAGGTCTGTCTTGGAGAGGGTGAGATCAAATTTCTCCTTGGAAGCTAGGAATTTGAAGCTCCATCTCACTTATTTTGGGTGCACGGCCAGGAAGGACCAGTCCTTGGAGAAGGACATCGTGCTCAGAAGGGTGGAGGGAGGGAGTGCAGGAGAGGAAGACCCCAGATGAGATGGAGTGATAACAGCAACTGGGACAATAGGGATAGGTATATCAGAGTCAGTAAGACTGATTCAGGACAGGGCAGGCTTCAGAGCTGTTGTACGTAGGGTCACTATGAGTCATAGGCAGTTCAATGGCACATAACAACAAGGAGGGAGCTCTGGTGGCTTACTGGTAAGGAATTGCGCTGCCAATGCCAAGGTACAAAGATCAAATCCAAGAGCTTCTTTTTGGGAGAAGGCTGGGCAGTCTCCTCCTGTGTGATTTACTGCCTCTGGAGGGTTAGCTATGGGCTGGTTCGGAATCGACGATATTCAACAAGAAGCCAGCAGATGTGTGGTTATCTGTTTGCCAGGCAGCTTCACTAGGCAGTTTGTGGCTACTGTTCATGGTGTTTGAATCATCCAGGGGCAGTAACATTGGAGAAAACAGAGATTTTGTAGGATGGAGATGGTGTCCACACTTTCTGGTGGACACCTTTCCCTCCCCTGACTGCCATGTGACAGTCGGAGACGGGCGTGCCTGCTCCAGACCAGGACGGCAGCTCGCTCTGCACAGCGAGGGGAGCAGACGTCTAGCTGCCATCGGATACTAGCTGCCATCGGATACGGCCCAGTGGTGGCCAGGGGCTGTGACCTGGAGATGCCATCAGGACCTGCTTCCAACACACAGCCTCTCCATCTACCCATCTGACTAGGGGTTATTTTTACCTAGTGTTTTGGAGGACATTTCAGCATAGTCATTTGGAGGAGTCCATCTAGCCCCTGGGGTCTGATGGAGGGGAAATTTTACGTCCTGGGGAGGGGTGTGTGGGAGGACACAGTGGGTGTTTTCAGAACACCAGTGTTCCATTTTCTGCATGGTTACCTTTTACAGTATCTTGAGTTGGCTCTGCTTTTGGAAATGCTAGGTACTCTGTAGCTAAAATCACATTTTATATGACCATTTCTCTTAAAGAAAGGGGGAGGGAATTGCCAGACAGTTGGATGTTTTGTTACTGTCAAACTTGTTTGAATTAAAAAGCAAAACCAGCTGCAAGGCTGTCTGGCTGGCCCCCACTCACAGCGACCCTGCAGGACAGCTGGACTGCGATGGGGCTTCCGAGCCGTCAAATCCTTGTCGGAATGCCTGCCTCACCTTTCTCCCGAGAGGCTGGTGGGTTGGAACCACTGACCTGTGAAGTTAGCTGCCCAGTGCTTACCCCACTGCCCATGAGGGTGCCTTTCTTCCAGCCAAGTATTGTTGAAATGAGTGGTTCTCAAGCCGAGGTGCTTCTGCTCCAGGAGACATCCTCCTTGTCCTGTGGGCTCACCAGGAGTTGAACACACTTGACGACAATGGGTTTTTGGTTTTGGGGCATTCGATGTTTGTAGGTCCCTCAGTGGCACAGTTTGTGCCTAATTGATCACCGAAAGGTCAGTGGTCTGAGTTCACCCAGTGATGCAGAGAGAGAAGGGAGTGGCCATCGCAGCAACTAGAAGTCCTGTGGAGCACCTGAAAGACGTGGCCGCCACCAGTGCACACGGACTTGCCAGCAATGGGCTTGGAGATGGGTTTTTATTTAGGGGTGGAGGCTGTTAATAACACCTAGTAAAGCCTATCTTGTAATGCTCAGGTCAGCACCCCCTGCACCCCAACAGTGAGCTGTGCCAGCTTGAGAAGCCCTGCTCTGGGGTGCTGCCTGGGAGGGGTTCAACATTAATAAAAGTACCTGCTACCAGCTACCTGCTACCCTGGTGGTGCAGCGGGTAAGCAAAGGTCAGTGGTTGGAGTCCATCAGAGGTCCGTGGAAGGATGATGATGTGGCAGTCTAGAAGGATTCACACCCTTGGCAGCCCTGGGGGCAGCTCTTAGCTGTCCTGCAGGTGGTTCCAGTCGGAATCCACTCCATGGCGATGGGGTTTGGTGGTTCTGACTCCCTGGGACAGCCCTCTGTGGGTAGACCTGACCAAGCGCTTGGCTACAGCCCCAAAGGTCGGCAGTTTAAATCCACCTGTAAGAAGCAGATGAAGCAGCTGTCCTCCAGGAAGATGCCAGTCTTGCAAATGCTGGGGGCCATTCTACTCTGTCCTGCAAAGTTGGTCATCCTGAGTCAGTATTGATGGCACAGAGGCGGGTTTGGGGTTATGGAGGGGGGCCCTGCCACCAACAATCTCGCTTAACCTGAGATGACCAGGACAGGGCACCTTTTCCTTAGGAGAATGAACCAGGCCCATAGAGTGGAAATCGCTCGATGAGGCTAGTGTGGGCCGCTGACCACAGAGTGTGGACTACGTCACACCCCAGCCCGGTGGAGAGGGGCCGGAGGGATGGCACGCGTCCCACACTCCGTGGCCCCGAGCCTGCCGGTGCCTGGTTAAAAACACTCTGAGGAGCAAAAGGGGGGGAGGGGTTTGTGCGGGGAGAAAGGTGCAACAATGAATGAATGGAATCCCAAATTCTCTGTAGATGTTCATTGAAATGAAAAAAAAACAACCTAAATTAAAAAAAAAAAAAAAGCACTCTGTTGGAATCGCCAGGTTCCATCTATAAGCACGCTCCTGGGGGAGGCCAGCTTGCGGCCTCGCGAACCCTGTGGGGCCCCAAGGTCCCCGTGGTCGGAGGGACGCGTGTTCTGGCTGTGCGCTCCGGTGGCGCCCTGTTCTCACCCCGTCTCTGCCCTGTCTCCCCAGGTAAGGACGAGCCTTCCAGCTACATTTGCACAACATGCAAGCAGCCTTTCACCAGCGCCTGGTTCCTGCTGCAGCACGCGCAGAACACGCACGGCTTCCGCATCTACCTGGAGCCCGGGCCGGCCAGCAGCTCGCTCACACCGCGCCTCACCATCCCGCCGCCGCTCGGGCCCGACGCTGTGGCGCAGTCGCCGCTCATGAATTTCCTGGGTGACAGCAACCCCTTCAGCCTGCTGCGCATGACCGGGCCCCTGCTGCGCGAGCACCCCGGCTTCGAGGGCCGCCTGCCCGGCACCCCGCCGCTCTTCAGCCCGCCGCCGCGCCACCACCTGGACCCGCACCGGCTCAGCGCCGAGGAGATGGGGCTCGTCGCCCAGCACCCCAGTGCCTTTGACCGAGTCATGCGCCTCAACCCCATGGCCATCGACTCGCCCGCCATGGACTTCTCGCGGCGCCTGCGCGAGCTGGCGGGCAACAGCGCCACACCGCCGCCCGTGTCCCCGGGGCGCGGGAACCCTATGCACCGCCTCCTGAACCCCTTCCAGCCCGGCCCCAAGTCCCCCTTCCTGAGCACGCCGCCGCTGCCGCCCATGCCCCCCGGCGGCACCCCGCCGCCGCAGCCCCCCGCCAAGAGTAAGTCGTGCGAGTTCTGCGGCAAGACCTTCAAGTTCCAGAGCAACCTGATCGTGCACCGGCGCAGCCACACGGGCGAGAAGCCCTACAAGTGCCAGCTGTGCGACCACGCGTGCTCGCAGGCCAGCAAGCTCAAGCGCCACATGAAGACGCACATGCACAAGGCCGGCTCGCTGGCCGGCCGCTCCGACGACGGGCTCTCGGCCGCCAGCTCCCCGGAGCCCGGCACCAGCGAGCTGGCCGCCGAGGGCCTCAAGGCGGCCGACGGCGACTTCCGCCACGAGAGCGACCCGTCGCTGGGCCACGAGGCCGAGGACGACGAGGAGGAGGAGGAGGAAGAGGAGGAGGAGCTGCTGCTGGAGAACGAGAGCCGGCCCGAGTCGAGCTTCAGCATGGACTCGGAGCTGAGCCGCAGCCGCGAGAACGGGGGCGGCGTGGCCGTGGGCGGCGTGGCCGTGGGCGGCGTGGGCGCGGGCGGCGCCAAGCTGGCCGACGAGAAGGCGCTGGTGCTGGGCAAGGTCATGGAGAACGTGGGCCTGGGCGCGCTGCCGCCGCAGTACGAGCTGCTGGCCGACAAGCAGAAGCGCAGCGCCTTCCTGAAGCGCGCGGCCGGCGACCCCGGCGACGATGAGGACGCGGGCGGCTGCGGGGACGCGGGCGCGCCGGGCGCCGTCAACGGGCGCGGGGCCTTCCCGGGCGCCGAGCCCTTCCCCGGCCTCTTCCCGCGCAAGCCCGCGCCCCTGCCCAGCCCCGGGCTGCCCAGCGCGGCCAAGCGCATCAAGGTGGAGAAGGACCTGGAGCTGCCGCCCGCCGCGCTCATCCCCTCGGAGAACGTGTACTCGCAGTGGCTCGTGGGCTACGCCGCGTCGCGCCACTTCATGAAGGACCCCTTCCTGGGCTTCACGGACGCGCGCCAGTCGCCCTTCGCCACTTCGTCCGAGCACTCGTCCGAGAACGGCAGCCTGCGCTTCTCCACGCCGCCGGGGGACCTGCTGGACGGCGGGCTGTCGGGGCGCAGCGGCACGGCCAGCGGGGGCAGCACGCCGCACCTGGGCGGCCCGGGGCCCGGGCGGCCCAGCTCCAAGGAGGGCCGGCGCAGCGACACGTGCGAGTACTGCGGCAAGGTGTTCAAGAACTGCAGCAACCTGACGGTGCACCGGCGGAGCCACACCGGCGAGCGGCCTTACAAGTGCGAGCTGTGCAACTACGCGTGCGCGCAGAGCAGCAAGCTCACGCGCCACATGAAGACGCACGGGCAGATCGGCAAGGAGGTGTACCGCTGCGACATCTGCCAGATGCCCTTCAGCGTCTACAGCACCCTGGAGAAACACATGAAAAAGTGGCACGGGGAGCACTTGCTGACTAACGACGTCAAAATCGAGCAGGCCGAGCGCAGCTAAGGCCCCGCCGCCGCCGCCCCGACGCGGACGGTGCACCTGTTGCCAACGAGCGAATGCTGGCTGACTCGAGCGCGTGCGCGCCGCCCCCCCCCACCCCGTGCGCCCGGGGCCCAGGGGCGCTGGCACTCCGACGCAGCCTGTGTCTGCAGAGTCCTCTGGTGAATCGAGGCAGTAAACATTGTGGAGCCTTTTAACTGTGCAATAATTTCTGTATTTATTGGGTTTTGTATTTTTATTATTATTATTATTTTTTTTTTTTTTGGCATGGGCAGGTACTTCTTTCTGTTGAAATTCCTTTAAGCGATTCTGTTGGGTGTCCATCCCTTCTCCATTCTTTCCTTTCAACCCAGTGGTACCCTGAGGTGATTTACGATGTAGAAGGGAAACCTATCTTCTTAAATTATACATTTTTGGGGGGGGGCGGCGGGGGGGGAGCTGCTTTTTTGAAATTTAAGCTAAGCATGTGTAATTTCTTGTGAAGAAGCCAACACTTAAATGACTTTTAAAGTTGTTTACTTTTTTCGAAATTCCTTCTCTTTTTCTTTTATCCTGAGATGAAAAACAACAACAAACAAAACGGCATGCGTTGGGGGGGCGGGGTGTGGATGTACAGCGATAACAATCTTTGAAGTTGTAGCACTTTGTTTCAGAATTGGAATGGAGATGTAGCACTGATGACGTCCTGAGGAACAGAGGCCTTTTTCTGTGTTGATTTCAACCTTCCCATTTCTGTAAGGAAGACTTTCATCGGTGGGGAAAGGAGAAAAGGGCACCGAGGGGGGGGCAGGTCCCCAGAGCACGACCAGAGGAACAGGGAATTTGAAATCCCCTGGGAAGTGACCCGGGGGCATCTGAAGTCGGGAATGACCTACAGGTCTGCCCTATCCTTGGGTGCTGGTCAGCCCTGGGATGCTGGCTGAGGTTTTGCTGTAGATTAGGTGAGATGGAATTGGGTGAGGGTCATTGTAGGGGTATTTGGTAGTGGTTTGCCAGAACACAGAACGGAAGAAGCTGGTGATATTCTTGTGGCTTTTTCTGTTTCAGAGCCCCTCTCTGTGTGACCCCTCCACGCGTCTCAAGTGGTATGTTGCTATGAATAATCACTGGCAGTTCCCAAGGGAGGCACATGCCCTGGTGGTTACCTGAGGAAGGCAGTACCCTCTCACCTGGTGCACATCTTAGGGGGGGAAGCAAGTCTGGTGACTCTCCTGGAAGGCAGAGGAAGGGTACCCAGCGCTACTTCCCAGTTTGTTTTTTTTTCTCTCCATCCCATTAGGTCAGAAGTCCCTACACACGTTCGAATGCTCAGATTAGACATTTGAATTCTGTTGACCCGCACTTTAAAGCTTTTGTTTGCATTTAAATGAAATGGCTTCTAAACAAGAAATTGCAGCATAGTCTTCTCTATGGCCCAGAGGTGGGTTCAACTGTAAGGACGGCTGAGATTGAGTGTCGGTGTTGCTAAGCGAGGCATTCACAATACCGGCACTATAAAGAACAAAATACTAATTTATTGGACAGTTTTTTCCTACTGCCATCCAATTTGACGTGAGTGCCTTGGAAACTGATCTTCCTATTTGAGTCTCTTGAGACAAATGCAAAACTTTTTTTTTTTTACTAAAAAGACTTTTAAAAAAAGTAAAATAGGAAAAGTACGTTGTTTAGAAACAAACAAAGCCACATTTACTTTAAGTAAATTAAAAAAAAATTCTGGTCGAAGATAGAGGACGTGAAAATGCCATAAGACCCAATCAAATGAAGAAATAAACCCAGCACAACTTTGGATATTCATTAGCTGAATTCTCCTGAGCCCCTTTCTGGTTTTGGGACTACGCTGCTTAGAATGTGGAGTGGAGGTGATTTACTGCTGAATTTACTACTCAAGTGACACAAGTTACAAGTTGCGATCGCTGAATGAAAAACAAAACAAAAAACAATTCAGGAACAATGGCTAATTTTTTTCCTAAAGTTAAATTTAGTGCACTCTGTCTTAAAAATACGTTTACAGTATTGGATACAAACAAGGGTGAAAAAATAAAATAGTGAGTGTGTGTGTGCGTGTGCGTGTGTGTGTTGGAGCGGTCTGCTTTTGTTTTCAAAGTTTGCTTAATAGGTTACACAAAAATGCCACAGTGGCCGCGTGTACATTGTTTTCTTTTGGTGACGGGGTTTTAGTATATATTATATATATTAAAATTTCTTGATTACTGTAAAAGTGGACCAGTATTTGTAATAATCGAGAATGCTTGGGCATTTTACAAAACAAGAAAAAAGAAAAAAAGAAAAAAAATACCCCTTTCTTTTCCTTGAACATGTTGCAGTAAAATTTAAATGGTGGGTCTCTAAGTTTGTTCTTGTCACAGTAACTGTAAAAGTCGGAGTTTTAGTAAATTTTTTCTGCCTTGGGTGTTGAATTTTTATTTCAAAAAAATGTATAGAAACTTGTATTTGGGGATTAAAAGGGGATTGCTACACCATGTAGAAAAAGTATGTAGAAAAAAAAAGTGCTTAATATTGTTATTGCTTTGCAGAAAAAAAAAATCTCATTTCTGACCTGTCCTTATTTTTCTCTTCCCACCTCCCTCTGGAATGGATATATGGTCGGTTCACATGATGTAGGCACTTGCTGTATTTTTACTGGAGCTTGTAATTTTTTAACTGTAAGCTTGTCCTTTTAAAAGGATTTAATGTACCTTTTTGTTAGTGAATTTGGAAATAAAAAGAAAAAAAAACCAAAAACAAACATGCTGCCATAATATATTTTTTTAATTTGGCAGGATAAAAGATTACAAAAATAAATTTGTATGTTGAGTCCTATTGTACAGGAGAGGAGTTGTTTGACAACGTTTGAGGGGGGGAAAAATGAAAATAGTTCACTGCTTTGGGTCCCAAATCATTTAGTTGTATATATTTTTATCAGAAGTGGCCTACACAAAGGACTGTTGGCATCGTAGGGCGTCGCTTGGGAGCCCCCAAACCTTGCATCAGAGCTTTCTGGTGTGGCCACAGCAGGCTTGATTTTGGGGGGGACCCACTATCTGTGTTGAGTGGAAAAACCCATTGTTGTAAAGATGTTGGTGACATTCCACAAAATCCTCCCCCCACCCCCCTTTCTCTCAGAGATCATGTCAGATGTGAGGAGAATGTGAGAGGGTTTCTTCTCTGGTGTCTCCACCCTGGCCTGGCAGCCACCTCCCTTATTCTGAAGAGCAGAGAGGAATACAACTGGGCTTCTCTAGTCCTGAAAACAGACTAACAGTCCAATGTTGTGAAAGGCAGTGGCCGGGCTGCTAGGCGTGAGTGACACCATGTCAAGCAGGACGTCTTTGCTCACGGAAATCGCTGGCCTATTTGTTGTCTGTCTTACCTGCTTTGCTGCTTTGCTCTGAAACCCACGTTCTGTCTGTGGCCGAGTGCTGACGGCCTGGGGTGAATCGGTGCCTTTTCACGTCTCTCTCCCTGTGTGTCTCCTTCACTCTCGGTCCTTCTCCACCTTCACTCATTCTCATCCCATTTCATTTCTTTGTCTTCTCTCCCACTTTTTTTTTTTTGTAAAGCCAAGTAGCTTTAAAATAATAATAATGGTGTTTTTTTGGATGAGGGAATACTGCCGTTTTCTAAAAGAACTATATCAGGAAGCCATGTTTTGTTTTGTTTTTTAATTTCAGGAAAGGTAAGGAAACTTTTTTTTTTCAGACTAGGAAGGTATGACCAAGCACCTTGTGGGCAGACCTTTAGGGGAGGCAGAAATCTTCCTGCTGGGACTGTGCCTTCTCTGTCATAGGCTCTGGGCTCCTTGCCTCTTAGCAAAGTTAAAAGAAAGGAGGAGAGAGAGAGAGAGAGAGAGAAGGCTGAGTTCTGGTTCCGACCAGCTTGACCCAGAGGCCTGGGGGCTGCTGCTCACATGGTCCATTTTGCCAGGTCAAGGAAAGCCCCGGAAGTAACCTGTAGTTAGGACAACTAGTTAGCTCTCTCCAGCAGCTGTTAATGGTTTCCACCAAGTCACCGTAAAGCCAGGACCCAAAGCACAAGAAATGATGTTTGCAGACATTGATACTGAAGCAGCTAGCCCCAGGAGAAAGGTCCCCCCAGGGATGTACTCCAGCCCACCTCAGGCCAGTTTCCACACTGCCAGAACTTTCTCTAATGTTGCCCCAAATTGGAATCTGCCACTCAGCAGGGGGACAGGAGGACGGACTTACTGCTGGGCCTATGTGACTAAGGAAAGCAGCCTTCCTCCGGCCCTGCGTGCCGGCCGGCCGAGGTTGTGTTCCCACGGGCAGCGACCTTGGTGCTTTTTGTATCTCGGCTGCAAAGCAAAGCTACGTTTATCTCAGTTGTTTGCATTTGTACTAGCAAGGCGAAATATTTTTATTACCTTTTCTATCACCTATTGTATGAGCTTTTATTGTTTACGTGGAGGTTTTGTCTTTTACTACAAGTTTGGAACTATTTATTATTGCTTGGTATTTGTGCTCCGTTTAAGAAATGGGCACTTTTTTTTTTTATTACGGATTAAAATGTTGAGATGACGGGAGGTCATTTCAATATGGCTTAGTAAAATATTTATTGTTCCTTTGATTCTCTGTACAAGAGTTCGGGCCTCTTTTCCCCCCTTAATGTCACGATGTTGAGTTCAGCATGTGTCTGCCATTTCATTTGTACGCTTGTTCAAAACCAACTTTGTTCTGGTTTCAAGTTATAAAAAATAAATTGGACATTTAACTTGATCTCTAAACCTTGTCCCTTTCTGTGTCTTTTAAGGGTGAGGGTTGGACAGCTTATTTCCAAGTACATGGATGGAAAGTCACTTGCCATGTTCCTTCTGAGTTAAACACGTAAGCCCACGTCTGGGTCAGGAGGGAGCAGTAAGTGGCTTGAGAAGCTAGTGCCTCCACGGGCTTGCCACACTTGGGACAACAGTGTGGAGCCCTGGTTGCATGTGAGAACTCATTTGGGAACTTTTTAAATTCCAAGTGTGCCCGCCTCACCACTGACCA